CCAAAAAAGTACACTGAGTTGACATTACCTGAGGCCCACCAATAACAAATCTGCCACTTGGTTGTAGGTGGTAGATAGTATCCTCATCAAGATATTTTGCAGGTACAACAGCTTTGATGACTTTCTCCTTTAGGGCATCCCTCATCTCATCAAGACAAACTTCTTCATCATGCTGAACAGATATAACAATTGTGTGGACTCTGATGGGAATCACAGCACCTCGATCCTGCATATACTGCACAGTCACCTTGAAGGCAATACATCATAAGAATAGTCTATATCAAACAATAGCTTCATACTAATTCTTTACCATAAGTTACAATACAGCAAAAGACAAACGCTATTCTTTTTTCAGTTAGTCACCTATAACTAAACAACCTTACAGATTTTCTAAGCAATGTAATATGTAAGACAATCTAGCTTTACGATCACTTACTTGGGTTTTAGAATCTGGGCGTAACCAAGGCAAAGTGCCATTGCGGCGTAGTTCAGCCAGCTTGGCATTGAGCTTGTGTGCTAAAACAATGGTTAAAGGCATACACTCCTCAGTTTCATCAGTGGCATAACCAAACATCAAGCCCTAAAAAAGTAAAAGTCACCAATGTGATCAATACAAGCTTCAGAATCTTATATTAGAAGGGATGCAAATATGCTCTACCAAGATACCTGATCTCCTGCACCAATGTCTTCCTCATTCCGGTCAAGATGAACACCTTGAGCAATATCTGGTGACTGTTGCTCCAAGGCTACCAGCACATTACAAGTCTTGTAGTCAAACCCTACAAAAAACAATCTTGTTTAGAGAAAAAGTAATAGCAATACCTTCTATTTACAACAATTATTTGCAATTTTAAATACTGCTGATGAAATCAGATAAACCTAAAACGCCATACACTTTTTTAGAAAATGGAACAAGGCTAGAACAGAAGGCTCAGACAGTAAAGCACAGTTATGTGTCACTGAACAATGGGGATGTATTCTGAGAAATGCGTCATTGTGCCAACATCATAAAGCGTACTTACAAAACCTAAATGGTATGTAGCCTACTACACACCTAGGCTATATGGTGTAGCCACTGTTATATATGCAGTCATTAACTGAAATGTTTTTTGGAGCATGATTGTATAGCAGAACTACACAAGTGAAGTTAAGGATTAGCAGGAACATTCTAGAAGACCTGAATGTTTCTTCACTCCTCATTAGCTGTATCTGGAAAAGTGAGGAGCTTAGAAAAGCAAAATCATTAAATCACACCTTTGGAAGAATCATCATATCCAATGTGTTTAATGGCTTCACGAACCACTTTCTGGTAGTCAACGGCAGCTCTGGATGTAATTTCCCCAGCAAGAAGAATCATTCCAGTTTTAGCAACAGTTTCTAACAAAAGAAAACATCACTTTTATAAGATAATTTTCATCATGATGTTATCTTTTTTTTTTTTTTAAAGATGACCGGTAAGGGGATCTAAACCCTCGACTTGGTGTTGTCAGCACCACGCTCAGCCAGTGAGCGAACCGGCCATCCCTATATGGGATCCGAACCCGGGGCCTTGGTGTTATCAGCACCGCACTCTACCGAGTGAGCCCCAGGCCGGCCCCATGATGTTATCTTTTTTTTTTTTTTAAAGATGACCGGTAAGGGGATCTAAACCCGCGACTTGGTGTTGTCAGCACCACGCTCAGCCAGTGAGCGAACCGGCCATCCCTATATGGGATCCGAACCCGTGGCCTTGGTGTTATCAGCACCGCACTCTACCGAGTGAGCCACAGGCCGGCCCCATGATGTTATCTTTTCATAAGCTGATAACAATATGCTCTGAACCTACCACAAGCCACTTTGGCATCAGGATCCTGCTGAAGGTGGGCATCAAGGACAGCATCACTGATCTGGTCACAAATCTTATCTGGAAAAGAGAAATGCATGTCTCAATTTCTTTAACTCACTGTTCATTTAAGTATGTCATGGCCCCTTCCTATAATTCTAACTGTAAAATCTTTGGAGGTTTTAAAAACTTTTTTTTATTGTGGTAAAACATAAAACTTACCAATTTAACCGTTCTGAAGTGAATGGTTCAGTGGCATTAAATATAGAGATCTTAACTGCTAATTAAAGCACTGCTTTACCAGAGCCATTTGCCAGAATAATAAATGCTGAATACAGTGCTGCATGTTACTTGAAAACTTGACACCATGGTCTTAATATAGATGCACAAGCTTACCAATTCAGATAAGCCAGCAGAACACCCAGTATATTTAATACATCTTAACCCATTATGATATATGCACTTTACACCTCACTTGGAAAGGACTTAAGTCCCATTTCTAAAAGTATTTCAGACATTTTGAAAAATTAAGTTTCAAGGCAAAACAATTTCCACTGTTAACAGCCACATAACTGGGATTTATCAGGTGAAACTAAAAAGTGGTATCTTTAAATCCAAAAGCATAAGCTAGGAAACATTTAGCCTTATGGTATTATTTTCAAAGACAATAGTTCTTACATTTTATTCCTAAAATTTAAAGTTTCCATTATAAATCTAACCAACCAGAAGGGTGAACTGTTTACCTTTTATCAATTTCTTAAAGAACAGTTGTTCTACATCACACAATACTCAATTCCACAAGTGTATTAAACCCTCTGTGCACTGAGCTGAGGCCACATGTAGACTAGTCTCCCTAATCTTAAAGAACACCAATTAGAGCAACAAGAGAATTAATTAGAATTAACCAATGAAAGGAAGGGCTCTTCATGAGCAAAAAGGAATAAAACAAATATACTCTGAATCTGTATGTGTCATCTATTATTGGGGGGGGACACAAATAAATACCCCCCACATCACCACTTTTCTGAATTTTCTGAAACCATCCAAAACAAAATCCAAGCAAAATGTATACGCAGCCTAGTATGAGACTCAAAAGTTAATATAAGAGCTGATCTTACTAAAAACAAACAAAAAAACCCAAACTACGGAACACCTGACCCTCAGCACTTATCAGGATCTCGGGTTTGTCCTCTCCAACCACTAGGCTGCTTGTGGGATTTTCATAATAGGCACAGTAAACTAGAGAGAAATGGATACTTAAGCCATCAGACTAGATAGCTCAGTTATTGTGGTCACACTTAGGGCAGAAGCAGCCTAAACAGCAAACTAATGATTAGAAAGTGATGTATATAGGCTGAGATTGAAAAGTTTCTGGAACATAGCTTTACTCCTTCGCGTGTAAATTGACTCCCATAATGGCGGTTCAGTGGACAAAGCCCTGAAAAGGAAATGTGAAGTAAACCTTGTCTAACGGTAATTACCAAGACTTTAAAGGAAACTCAACGCGATGGCAGCTTACAATTAATTCATGCTCCTCATCCTTTTTTACACAACTTCCAAATAAGGACTACCTTCTCCAACATGCACTATATTTAGTTGGAGGTTGTCACCTTGAAAGCAAGGCCATACTCGCCTAAGGGCATGTCCCTATTCTTCAGAAGTAATGATCGAAACCATGAAGATGGATAACGGAGATAAAAGATGTCCCGAGACTCGGACCCCACACCCCTCCACGCCAGCACTCTACCAGCAGGGGAGGCCGCCGGCTCCCCCTCACCCAGATGCCACATGCGGCAAACACGTGGTTGCCGCTGCAATGCGGGGCGCGCGCTCCCGAGGGCCGGATGCGAGCGCGTGGGGCGGGTCGCCCACTCGAGGCTTTTCAGACTGCAGGACCTAGAGGAGTTAACAGTACCCTCCCCGGCCAGAACACTCGCCGTCAGGGCCCCCGCCCTTCTCGTTTTCTGGAATCTTCCGCTTTACGAGGCGCGCGGCCGCATGGGAGAGGAGAGGAAGGGGGAGGGGAGCGGTGGCGCCACGGGGACGACGTGCTACCGCCGTTCTCCCCACCGCCCGTAAGGCGAGGGCGACCTGCGCTGGTCCCACCACCAGCGGGTCCGGCCGGCGCTGCCCTACGCCCCGCCCCTCGCTTCGCTGCAGGACTGATCACCTTACCTGGGTGGCCTTCCCCTACAGACTCGGAGGTGAAAAGGAATGTGCCCTCTTCGATGAACGCCTCGTGGAAGCCGTTGAGCTGCCCGTTCATGTTGGTGACGGTGGCGATGAGTGAAAGTCGCGGATAAGAGAAAGCGGCTGCGAGGCGGCGACTGCGAAATGCGCAAGCAGAAGACAGCGCCCTATCCTGGGTGGCAGGAGACGCGGAGGGAACGAGGCGAGTGGCGGAGCGGCCGGGTATTTATAGAGCAACGCGCGCGCGCGCGCCTGGCTCGGGCCCCGCCCCTCGGCGCCGCGCGCCAATGCACCACTCGCGCGCGGGTTCTGGGGAGCCAGGGCGGTGCGCCGAGCCCGGGCCGGGCTGAACCACTCTGCGAGGCAGGGGGATCCAGCGGAGGCAACCGCCCCGCCTGCGAATATTTACCTATCTAAAGCAGTTATAACAAGGGGTAAGTGGAAGCGTGAGTAGATCGGGTCGTTGTACACTGCCGTGTTCGATGTGGGAGGAAAAGCGGCTAAGGGTTTGTGGACCAGCTCCCCTGTGATGCGACATGGCACTTCCCTTCCGTCCGTTGGCTGGGGTTCTGTCCGCGAGGTCGCGCCCCCCAGCGGTGGCGGCGGGTATCTCGGAGGTTTTGTGCTCTGGCTCTTGCCGAAGGTCTTTACTGCCCGCGCCCCCCCCATCCCCACCGCCTTTAGAAGCCGGTGACAGGGAGCTAGTGGCTCTCAGCCATGAGAAAGTGGCCATCTTGGCTGGCCAGCGGACGATTCTTCGCACGGCCTTATTCATCCCCCCCTGCTTGCTGTTGGCGGCTAGAAATTCTGAGGGGCGCCGGCCCAGTTGCTAGTAATTTCTTGGTTAATGGCTCTGGTGGAAATGGCCGAAAAGCAGATTGATGAGCGTGCTGTCATCGATTCAAACAATTGCCATCCTCTCCCTGTCTCCAGCGTTAAAGTTTCTGAGAGGGACCCTCACCATTAGTTGACCCTAAAGTGGAGGCCACGCTCTGGCCTTTTCAGGGAGAAAGGCCGCTCACAAGGCTGTCCTTGCACTCTCTGGCTTTCTCATGTCTTTGAGGGAAAATGTCATTTTAATCATCTGTTGAGAGTACTGAACGAATATTTCTTTTGGAGGGGGCGGGGGGAAAGCCCTATTAGAGAGCCCTGGAATGTGCTTCAGCAGATCTCTTGACAAGGTGAAATGGTCTGTTTCATGAAGCTTTTGCTTTAAAATGTCCACCTGCGTTTATCCCAGTTTTGCCCATTAAAGGAATTATAGAGAGCGAAGGAAAAAGAGCAAAACAAAACTTGAGCCAACAAGGAACCAATTTCGTGGAGTCCCCGTCTGGAGGGAGCCCACAGTGAGGGCTGGTGTGGTGACCCGAGCACGCGCTGGTGACAAGGACGCCGGGCTTAATGCTCTTATTAGGGAGCGGCCTGCTGCTAGCATGGGACGGACTTTGCACTGGGGAACTGAACGAGACCCCCTGTAACAGCCTCCAGCTGCCATTGCTCAGAGAATAAGGTAAATTGTGAAGAACAATCCTCTCGGCTGGCCAGCTGGCGTATGCGGAGGAAAGGTGGGAGTTTGCCACAGGCTCACTTGGAAACAAAGGAAGCACCTCGGCTGTGCTAGGGGCTTCCACAAAGAAGGTAGAGGAAGACTCATCTCCAGCCTTCAGAATGACCACAGCTATGGTCACTCAAAGCAGGCAGCAAGAAAAGGTTAAATCACAAAAGAGACAATAGATATGTTATTTTTATTTGTTGGTGTTTTACTTTTCAACTTAACTCTTCATGGAAAAATAACTGTATAAGACTATTTCATAATTTTTTTGTTTTAATGTTATTTCACCTTTTTTTAAAAAAGCAGAATGCCAATTTATTAACTCACAGTGAATAATAAAATTATCAACTGGAACAAAATGCATGTGTAGGCCGGTCAGCATTATCTCCCAGAAGAAAAATTTGTATGTGAAGCCAGAATATAATTAGGTTATTTTATTAATAGGGAGTCAGAACAAGGGGATTAGTTAAATTTAATGATTAGCTCATTAAACCCTGATACCCCTATGCTACCAACTACACGGTAGGGCTATTCCTGCCAAAGAGATTAGAATCAGCTGTACATACTTGCTTACCTACCTCTCTTTCTTGCTCTTAGTACACGTAATATAGTGGTTAAGAGCAGGGGTTTTGGAGTCACGCCTCTGCCACATAGCAATGTTGAGCAAACAACTTAACCTCTATACCTCAGTGTCCTCAGTCTGTAAAACTGGGATAATAATAGTATCATCATAGGATTGCTTCAAGGATTAAATAAAATCATACAAGTAAAGTCTTTAGCACAGTATCTAGCACATAACGTATTTTTAAAAAATATTAGCTGTAGCAAATTAGCTGTATTTCTTGCGAATATCTTTTCAATGGCTTTCAATAGCTATTAAGGTAAAGACTAAAATCTCTACATACTCTTTATTTATTTAAAGATGACCGGTAAGGGGATCTTAACCCTTGACTTGGTGTTGTCAGCACCACGCTCTCCCAAGTGAGCTAACCAGCCATCCCTATATAGGGATCCAAACCCGTGGCCTTGGTGTTATCAGCACCATACTCTCTCAAGTGAGCCATGGACTGGCCCTAAAAATCCCTACATACTCTTAAAGGCCTGAGTGTAATTTGGCTGCTACTTCTTCAACTTCCCCTTGTGCAACAATCCCGTCTTTCTGTCTTCTACTTTGGATTTCTTCTAGTTAGTAACAGATTTATTAATTGATTAGTATAGAACAAAGCAGGAGAAATTTTCACTGATTTTACATTATTTGTATTGTCCCTTCCTCCCTTCCACAAATATTTATTTGTGAGCACCTCTCTGAGGCAGACACAAGGACTGATTCTATGACAGCCCTGGTCTCTGCCCACTGGAGCTCTAAATGAGGGGAGATGCCTGGCTAACTTCTCCTTATCCTTCCCTCTGCAGCTCAGCTGCCACTTCCTGGGTGAAGACTCCACCTACACAGATTTTTCACAGGATCTTGTGTTTTCCTTCATGGCAGTAAGTACAGTTGAAATTACAGATTTGGTGATTATTTGATAATGTCTTCAATTCCCAATTAGGCTTATAAGCTCCATGATAATGAGAAAGTGGTCCATTTTGCTCAAGCTTTGTTGCTGAATGCTTGGCACACACAAGATGCTTAAGAATATTTGTTTATGAGGGAGAAGGAAGAGAGGGAGGAAGGGAAGGAAGCAAAAGGAAAGGTGAATGAGTGTAAGGGATGGCAGAAGGAAGTAGGGAAATTAGAGACCCTGGTGCTCATGTGAAATCAATGAAAAGAAGTCCTGCTTTGTTTTGGTCACAAGCATTGTAATTAATAAAATTGGGAGCTCTTCACTAACAAGGAAGCACAAGGCCATCCTGTTCTGAGAGGAATGAGAGTTCTGATTTAATAGATTCACGCCCTAAGGGTAAAATACACCAAGAGAAGTTATTGGTTTATTTCATATTTAGCATTAATGAGATTTGTTGAATGTGAAATGTTGTAAAGCACATAGAACGATCTAATCACTACCTAAAGGCTCCCGATTTCTTAACCCAGAGAAAATTAGTGTAGCAGTAGTCCTTTGAAAGAGGCAAAGTTGGGATTGAATAAACTGGCATTTGAGACAGCAAATATAACAACTATGGGTCTTATCAGTTTGCCAGTCAGGGAGAGAGTTCCAGTAAGTAAAAGAAAGCATTTGAGGTGCAAGCAGCTGTTGATTTAGCAGGAGAAAGGAGGAAGATGCCACTAGGTATAGCAAAGAGCAGTAGTGAAGGTATAGAAGTGTTGAGAAGGAAGCTCCTATGCTGTGAATCTTACAGGTACCTTCTTTGCAAAGACAGGCCAAGAAGAAATAAATCTAGGCCAGATGTCACCAAAATTGTGCTAGTCCTTTAGGGCCAAAGCCTCGGATATCTTACATGGTCTCAAAAGCAAGCTAGCTGTAGTGGGATGAGAAACAAGTACTATGTTGGGGCTGGCTGGTTAGCTCAGTAGATTAGAGCACAGCTTTATAACACAAGGTCATGGGTTCAGATCCCTGTTCTTGCCAACCACCGAAAAAAGAAAAGAAACAAGAACTATGTGAATCCCCTTGTTTTCAGGCTTTTTGTATTTTTTTTTTTTTTTTCTCAAAGATTAACGGGAAGGGGGTTTTAACCCCCTGGTTAGCTCAGTAGATTAGAGCACAGCTTTATAACACAAGGTCATGGGTTCAGATCCCTGTTCTTGCCAACCACCGAAAAAAGAAAAGAAACAAGAACTATGTGAATCCCCTTGTTTTCAGGCTTTTTGTATTTTTTTTTTTTTTTCTCTCAAAGATGACCGGTAAGGGGATCTTAACCCTTGACTTGGTGTTGTCAGCACTACGTTCACCCAATGAGCTAACTGGCCATCTCTATATAGGGACCTGAACCCATGGCCTTATCAGCACCACACTCTCCCAAGTGAGCCATGGGCCGGCCCTCAGGCTTATTGTATTTTTTTCTGTTTTTCTCTCTTGATACTTAATCAAATCTTTTTACAGGCCCAATAAAGAAGTGTGAGATGGAAGAATGCATGAGATACAGTGAAGAAGATACTGAAGGACATAATAATGTGATGACAATAGCTACAATTATTGTGACAGGCAATGTTGTGATATCTACTCCTCACAACAACTCTAATGAGGCAGTTACTATTTCTCTTCCTGTTTTACAGATGAAGAAACTAGCATGTAATTTGTCCAAGGCACACATCAAATCTGTAGTGGAACTGGGACTTGAGCCTCGGACTGACCTCTAAATTCATGCCCCTTGTTATAGCCAAACAATAAATACATCACACTCCCGAGGTAATTAATGACAACAGCTTGATTTGTATCTTTTCATACTCTTCTATGAACAAACACACACACGCAAACACATTTTACTATCCAGAGAAATGTGGATTTTTCTATTAATTTTCATTACCATCTCTCCAGGACACTATGTAGAGATACAGATCATTCTTCTTTTTTTCTCCTGTTTTTTTTTTTATTATGGGAAAATATACAATACACATACATTCTAACTTTTTTTTTTTTTTTTTTAAAGATGACCGGTAAGGGGATCTCAACCCTTGGCTTGGTGTTGTCAGCACCACACTCAGCCAGTGAGCAAACCGGCCATCCCTATATAGGATCCGAACCCGTGGCCTTGGTGTTATCAGCACTGCACTCTACCGAGTGAGCCACGGGCCGGTACATATAATTATTTAAAAATTAAATAGCACTATATATTTTTTTCTTTGTAAGTATCTTTTCATTGTGGTAAAATATACATAACATAAAATTTGCTTCTAACTATTTTTTATGTGTACAGTTCTGTGGCATAAAGTACATTCACGTTGTTATGCAAAATCTTTCCTTTCTAGCCAGTATAGGGATCCTCTAACTATTTTTTATGTGTACAGTTCTGCGGCATAAAGTACATTCACGTTGTTATGCAAAATCTTTCCTTTCTAGCCAGTATAGGGATCCTAACCCTGGACCTTCATTCTTTTTAATAACAGTGAAATATACTCTATATGACTCTGCCACATGATGCATTCAACTGTTTCCTTATTGGTTGACCTTCAAGTTGTTTCTCATTTTTGCCCTACACACATTGCTGAACCTAACATCATTGCACATGTATTTTTGTGAACCAATATTTTTATTTTTGTTGAAAATATTTCCCAAGTGGGATTGATGAGACAAAAGGTATGTGCATTTTTATGTGTTAGTAGTTACAGCCAAATTACTTTCTTTTTTTTTTTTCTAAAAGACGACCGGTAATGGGATCTTAACCCTTGATTCGGTGTTGTCAGCACCACGCTCTCCAAAGTGAGCTAACCTGGTCATCCCTATATAGTGATCCGAACTTGTGGCCTTGGTGTTACCAGTACCACACTCTCCCAAGTGAGCCATGGGCCGGTCCTAAGCCAAATTACTTTCCAATTGGCTATCAAAAGTCACATTCTCACTAGGGTATCATTTCCTCTCACCAGTGCTGGGTGTTATTACTCTTTTTAATTTTTGTCAATATGACAAATGAAAAATGGTAAGAGAATATTTTTATAACCTTGGCAGACCTTTGCAAGCAAAATAGAATATCCAGAAGCCACAAAGGAAATGACTGATAGAGTTAACAACATAAAAATGAAAAATTATTGTATAAATAAAATTCAAAGACAAACATAGGAGAAAACTTTTGCAACACATATGACAGACAAATTGATACCAACTGATGAGAAAAAACATAAAATACTAATTTATAAGAAAAAATCCCATGAAAACTGGGAAAAATAATACAGGTAGTTCACCAAGGAGAAAATGCAAATTGCCTATATACACAAGAATAGATGTTCAACGTCATTAGTAGGGAAATAAATTAATTCATTTGTATAGTGAATTTCGGAAAGATTAGGGGCATGGGGGGGCGTAGAAAGAGGAATCTAAATAATAGAATGCTATGTCTCTAGCTCCCCCATTAGTAGGCCTCTGGGGGAGCTTTCATAATGCTGATGATCCTTTCCAGATTTTTTTTTTTTTTTTTTGTGACTGGTAAGGGGATCGCAACCCTGGGCGTGGTGGCGCCCACACCGCGCTCAGCCAGTGAGCACACCGGCCGTCCCTATATAGGATCTGAACCCCTGGCCTCGGCACTCCCAGCGCCGCTGCGCTCCCAGCACTGCACTCTCCCGAGTGAGCCACGGGGTCGGCCTCCTTTCCAGAATTTCTAATGGTGCATTTCATGGGGTATACAGGGTCAAAGTATTCGGATTCAAATCTCCCTCCTTACCAAGTATCGATGTAGCTTTCTGGATTGAGCTAAATCTACCTGTGGCCAAAGGCTCACCAATCAGTGACTCTTGTAAGGATCTACTCTCACCATTTCTATTACTGCTTAGTCCAGCTACTTGTCTATTATCTAAAGCCATGGCTCTATTCACTTACATTACCAGTATCTTTTTTTTTTTTAAAGATGACCGGTAAGGGGATCTTAACCCTTGACTTGGTGTTGTCAGCACCACGCTCAGCCAGTGAGCGAACCGGCCATCCCTATATGGGATCCGAACCCGGGGCCTTGGTGTTATCAGCACTGCACTCTCCTGAGTGAGCCACCGGGCCGGTCCACATTACCAGTATCTTTGTTGGGACATGGTGGTATCATTTTTCCTCTCATGTAGACCTACCACCTGTCATCCTCAGCTTTCATCTGAAGGCTGGTGCCATTTCCAACAATCACTGTATCATTTGGAGACTTACCTCTTTAGACCCCACCCCAACCCTTCAGGAGATCATATACCTGCTCTCAAAACTGGACTTGGTTTAGACCTGCCCTGAACTCAGGGCTGTCCCTAGATGATTTCCAGCTTTGTCCTTCTAATATAATTATCTATTTGCTTTTGTTTCCATCTCCAGCTTTCCTTGCTTGGTACACCTGGGCCTCCCTGACCTACCTTTTCATCTCTCTTTTCTCCTTTCTTTTGGATCAGTGCATTTGGATCCACCTCCCACTAACTGATACCCGATTTGGCTTCAGGATCCTTCCACTGTAAAGTGCCTCCACCTCCACAGGCAGCCAAAGGAAGATCCTGCCCCATGCCCTGGGTAACTGAGGTGGTTGGGATAGAAGTAGTAGGAAACTCTTGTATTCTTTATCTTGCCAACTCTTATCTATAGGAGGATATAACTGCCCCCCCCAGGATAGAAGATGCTTAAGGACAAAGAATGCTGATTTGGTGGAGCAGTTGGGAGAATGTGACCCTGTTCTCAATGGTGTTGACTTGACAGGTCACAGAGACCTTACCTGCTTGCCAAGGTTTTTGGCATACTTTGATAACTTTTCAGTCCTCAGGCTACCCAGTTCTCCAGGAAGCTTAAGTAGTTTGTGTTGTTACCATACCATTCAATCTATGAAGGAGAAATGTAAAGAGATTTTGCATTCTGTGATTAAAGGCCTGGCAGAAGAATAGAGTACATGGCCCTGGTCAGTGTCCACTGAGGTTGAGATCCTCTCAGCTGCTGGGGAGCAGAGTTCTAACCTTTTCCCCAAACTTGGCCTGGAGTGAGGTCACCCTTTGTGTGCAGTCTTAGAGGATACATAGTACCTACCACAAGGAGGGTCGCCTGGCAGGGTGATCACCCATTATGTCCCACTGGAAGGATTCTTTCCTCTGGACAGATTCCTATATTGGTACCCTCCTTGTGGGCTTCCAGCCGAGTTGTAGGTATCAACACAACTTTCTTGGATTAGGTTATGTGAAGATTAGAACTGACAGCTGCAACTGCTAGGATTCAGAGTAACAGGCAACCTTTCTCAAGTAGGTAATTCAGAGGAACAGTTTTGTGGTGTCAGTCGTGACTGCACATTAGAATCAACTGAAGCACTTTAAATCAATTGATTCCTGGACCGCACCCTAGATGTATTAAGTCAGTGTCTCTGGGTTTGAAACTGGACATAGGTGTTTTGAAAAAGCAACCCAGGTGCTTCTAATGGGCAACCAGGGTTGGACACTCTTGGGCTAGCAATTATTGCTTGAATCAGTGGTAATAACCTTACACCTTCAAGGGGCCTGTAAGATCCATTTAATATATACGATGAAAGTGTTATCCTTCAGGATACCTCTGCTGGAAGCAGTGGGTTCTTAAACTTTAACGTGTGTATGAATCATTGGCAATCCATTACACTACACATTTTAGCAAGATTCTGCATTTCCAACAAGCTCCCAGGTGGTGCTAATCCTGCTGGACTATGGACCTAGACTAGTAGTCTGCAAATTAGGATAGGGTACCCCTGGAACTACGTGAAAGCTTTCCTAGTTCTGTCCAAACATGTATAGTTTTAAGGGAATCAATTTCCAGATCACTAGCTTCCATATGAACTATTTTCTAAAACTGATCTGCCTGAGAATGATCCTGAATTCTCCTCTCCCAGTTCCCCTTTCGCAGTGGCCCCTTTCTTAAAGTGTTAAAGAAAGGAAGACCTCTCAACCAGCTGAATCTCACTCTCAAACAAAGAAACACACTAAAATATTGATGTAGGTATTGAGAGAATGAATGGTTCTGGTAATTAACAAATCTTTCTGCAAGTTAAATCTTGTCTAATCCTTTCTTTTCTACCCAATTGGATGACTTAATAACATTGTTAGTTGATAGATCATTAAACACAATTTTGGATAATATGTCACTACGTGGGTTTTGTTTGTTTGTTGGCATTTAACTAAGAAGGACTTTTTAAAAATTACTGTTATTGCTCTAACAAAACTACTTCCATTACCATCTACTTATTTATGTGAAGAACAAGATTTTTTTTTTTTTTTTTTTTTTTTTTTTTTT